ATTCTTCCCATCTTAAACCAAAAACGTTTGAAATACTTAATTGTTATTATTTATTATTAATAATTGGCTTTATTCTATATTATATTATTGGTATAATATAGAATTCTTAGAACAAAGTATATCAACAACTTTCCTTCACTTATTTTTTTATAGATCCTGACAATAGATATAGAGTAATACGAAGTTAGATGTTAGCAGTTCAGGAATCGACATCTGAATAATGTTCATTCTTTTCAATGTACATTGCCTGCCACCTCTATGTCTATGCTTGTACATTTTTGTAACTTATACAGAGACATGTCATAAAGTTTTTGTAGACGCATCTGAATAGGTTCTGAGATTATTAAACATTATGTGGTAAGACAAACAAACACAGGTAACTTGTTGAAATATCTAAAAGGCGGGAACAGGTAGACAGATACTCAAGTGTGCCGCCTAAATTATATTTTATTAATCCTATGTAGATTGTACATAACAAGAAAATGAATTCTGTCAATAGATTTTTGTCCTTAATCCTTGCTTTAAATCCTGAACACCTAACTTAAACCTCCTTGATTTCATCCCTAAACTGACATTGTGTGCTGACTACCAAAGTTTATTTGTGTTTATGGGTAGGTTTGGGAAGACTGATTATATATATATATATATATATATATATATATATATATATATATATATATATATATATGCGTTAACTTACATATCATTTCCGGACAGAACAAATTGAAAAAATCAATCAAAATTTGTTTACCGAGTTGAGTACTATTGCCGCCAGTTTCTACAAGTTATTTTCTGATTGGCTAGAATCTGATTTAAAGTTCGTCACGTTTATATTTCAACTAGTTTGCACACCGTACTTTTCCTACAACTATTAAGTTTAAGTATATTATACTCTGAAGCCATTTTAAGTATTATTTTTAAGGAAACAAAACATGTCATTCTTTTCATTATAATTTTGATATGTGTACTTTGTTATAAAACGTAATTGGCTGTTAAGCATGACACTATTGATTGTTTGTAAGCGTCGAATACCATGTGGATTCAATCAAATAATTATACTGAAGTTATTCGAAATCATTTATCGTTTTATTATTTCACGAGCATGAACTATTGCGTATTGGTTAACAATTTAAATGAATGATTTGACCAATTACTTTGTAACGGAATATAATTTTGTATAAACTACAGTTTACTAATGAAATGAACAAGAACTCAAATAAGGAAACAAGTTTGTTACTGAATTCAAAATTGCAGAGTGTCTTTGTACAATATGGAAACCATACATTAAATACATTATTTGGGCATATTCCATCAGTTGTCTCATACAAACTTTATCGTCCCTTCATTCTTGTCTTTATTTTTATTGCTTTTAGCTTTTTTCTCTTTTCTCTTCAATTGTATCAACTTAGTTTTACGTTGACAGGCATTCAACTTCCGACTGGTACTACACATACTTATGTCCGTCAACATAAATAGCATGAACCACACTAGCACTAGTACCTTAATTGATTTATTCTTTTATAAAAGTTAATTAATTAGAATATAGTGAAACATTATAAATATTTTTCTAATAGAAATTTACATTTAATAATTAACATTCAGCGAACATTATAAATTACACATATCATGACTGTGATATTTTTTGTGTGGTCTAGATCCTCCACAGATCAATAACAGTATTATCATAAATAGTTCTACCAGTTGGAAAACAAAATATCAATTTTGTTTTTTCCGAAATTTTCCGATTGGTATGATAAATGTATTAATGTATGTGTACAATAATATCACCGACTCATTGCAACGATATTTTCTCGGATCAAATTGATTCGTGATGAGTAACATAAATATAGAATTTACTTAAAGCTATTTTTTTGTTAATGAATTACTATGATTGATAAATTCGTGGTTATTGCTGGGATAGTTTACTACTTTCTTCTTATTCACATTTTGATAAAACTTAACAATATTGGCCTGTTCGATTAGAACAATCAAACTTAAGATAATGGTTCTTGATTTTTGTGCGAGTTTGAAAGATGAATGAGAACTAGCAAAGTATATACCCAGGAAATAAGACACTGTGAGGAAGCCTAATTATTAGAAATGTCTCCTCTTGATTACATCTGAACGTATTTAATGAGATTTAGTCCATTTCATAGAATATTGTGTAGATGAAAAGAATTTCATCTGTTTAACATTCTTAACACCAAACCCTAGGCCTAGCACACAAGACCCAGACCCTAGTACCTAAAACACTAACAATCGCGTTTGTCACCCCTAACACTGTTAATTCAAACTGTCGTTTACTGGATTAGTTGAAGTTGATCATCAAAACCGCCGGATGCCGGCTCAGTGGTCTAGAGGTTAAACGTCCACGCGCGAGCCCGTTAGGTTCTGGTTTCGAATATCGCGAGCGGGATTGCGGGCGGGCACTGATAAGGAGTCCCGTAATAGAAAGAAATGGCAGTCCAGTGCTTCCAAGTTTTCATGACGGTCTAGCTTCAATTGACTCATGAATTCAACTATTAAATTACTATAATATCCACAAAAACTCATGTGTAAGCACTAATTGAATGTTTTGAACCGTTTTTTTGCCATATTTTATTATAATTATCCTCACAAAAAAAGTTTTATAGACATGGTCACACTGAGCTCATTTACTATAGAAATTAAAAGAAACAACTATCAACTGACAACAAATTACCGCACAACGATTATAATAACATCGATAGTAATTGTTAATTTATTCGATGAATCTAATTATTCTCAATAAAAAATAAAGTTAATATCATATTTGTATCGTCTACTCAGTTCATATTTAGACATCACGTGTGAACCGTTAAATTTCATCTAATAGACTATCAACTACAATTATTCAGTACCATGTTGAATAAATAATTATTGTTATTAGCTTAAATGACATTCCTTGTTTTACCATAGTGAAATTATCAGCAGTTAATTTGATCATATTCTATAGTTTGAATGACAACCAATTATCTATATTATTTGCTTGTAATTTAAGTGAAACTCTTCACTAACAATGTAATTAGTAATAGCTAATAAATATCATTTAATTATCATTAAATTTTTCTGTTAAATTTTGATATTTCACCTTGTTTATAATTTATAAGTCTTATCTACCGTACGTATATAAACATGGTAATGCCCGAAAGACTCTTGTATTATTTTATGATGAATCTTTAATGAGAAAAATAAACGTGTACAATGACATTCTAATTTCAAATGTAATAAAATAGCATATAACTACCTAGTTACACTATAATGATTCACATGTTCCTACTTTTATCTATGGATAATATTGATTGATATGCACAATATTAAGCAAACTTCATGAAATATCATCAGTAAGCATTCATAGTGTAAGTTTATTACAGAGTAGACTGATTGAAGAATGACTTTTAATGTGATTCTTTTTATTTGATATCCATTATTTTTTGGTAGATTTTGATGATTCCTTATTCAATGATCCAAAATATAGGATTTGATATCATTTGCGTGTATTTACTGATTCAGCTGATCTTGCGACAACAGCTATATCGATTGTAACAAAAGTTAACTCTACTTTTTACTATTACACTTGATTGCTGTTGGCCATTTAGGTGAAAAAAACTAAAGCATTTAGATTGAAATACACTGTATTACATTACGTTTGCCTAACATAGGATGGTCTTATATTTCATATGTGACAAAAAGTTATGATGGTGTTTGAAGCAAACGATAGTGGATTCAAGTCCAGGAGTAATAGTCACCCCTGAAAGGCAGGTACACCAAGCACACGAGTTGCATTTGGGACGAGGGGTGTCTAATAGATCCCACTAATAAACAAGTTCCATCTATTCGATGTTAGCCCTTGTTTTAGCTTTCAAAATAATTAATAACATACATTTCCCTTCCATTTTGAAAATAAAATGTAATCAACTATTTTATTGATTCATTAAACCATTTATTTATTTTCTTCATTATTTTTATATCTGTTGCTCATCATATATGTATTTAGGGGTATTGGATATCACCATGAATAAACATTCAAAATGATATTGTTTAAGAGTAAAAGATACATACTATTTCCATAATCTTGATTAATTGCTTTAATGAGAATTTTTAAGTTATAAATCATTTTAATTCCAACTGAAGCATTGTGTTTTAAAACAACACTTAAACAACTAGAAAGCAATAACAACATAACTTACACTGAATGTTTTTACTCTAATGCGTTAAACTATCTTAGATTTTTAAAAAACTATTCAAAGCTAAATGATGCAAATATGTTATATCTTAAATGTTTGTTATTCCATGTTCATTTCATTTTTGATCATTACTGAAAAACAAGTTCTTCTTAAAACCTGGTTTTATTTGCTTTAGATAAAAATGTCGGATTGTTTATTAGCCTAAGATAATGAATTCAAGGGAATTCAATGCACAACTATATTTGTGGATTTAAAATGTAATATTCAGTCGTAAGGAGGGTCTGTACACTGATGCTTGTAAATAATCCTTAAGTCAATGTATACGAAAATAAGCATGTCATCTATATGATCTATTATGCCTTAAATAATGTACATATTATTTTCATTTGAATTTAACATTCTGATTATCTTATCCATTTGGTTACAGTAGCAAGTGATTAATTCATATGGAGATTTATGAGTTTTAAAAACTATTTTCAATTCCTTAGTGACATTTGAACTATGGTTGGTAGAATAGTTACTGTAGACATGTTGAAAAAAATATTAATTTTACAGTTTAAACACAATCTTATAGTATTCAAAGAGAATTATTTCCGTATATGCAGTGTTCTTTTTTTCGGTATTGGCCAGATTCCAATTAAGATATGCTCACTTTTCATTGGTCACTATAAAACCATTTCTTTTAACCAATCAAATTCATTGATAAACATTACATTTCACTCGTAATAGAAATTATTAAGCTACAAATTATTTATTTTTAAAAAAAAAACAAAATCATTAATTGAATCTTGTATACTTTCCTATGACATCTTTCATGAATACCTAAACGTACTCCATAGTAATTGAAAGAATGTCTGAAATTCAGTGATTAATATATATTGGACTGCTGAATAATATCGATGAAGATCGATATATTACGCAATAATTTGAATAATTAAGCAAGAAAAGAAACCTTTAAAACATTACTGTTTTGTTGGCGATCACGCGAACTATATTAAAGAACATGTCTGAAGTGATTCATTCCTATTTGTAGAATCTATACAAACTAATAAATACGTTTTTGAGGATACTAAAAATACCAGTAGTCAGATAAAATTACATAATCAGTTGGTAAGTACCAAAGTCATTTAAATGGTTTCCATTATTATTATTATTATTATTAAATGGTTATTACAGGTTTATTAAAGATCAAACAGAATATTAGTAGAAATATAGTTAATCACATAATGAATCTTGATAACGTTTTATTGCAGTTATTACATTACCTAATTAGACCGTTCATTAAATAAAGCAAGCGTGTAATCTTTAAATAAAAGTACTTTTTGTGTGTTCCAATCAGTATCAATATTAATTGTTCATTTTGTCACTACCTTCGTAACATATACAAATTATAAAACAGTGTAAAAGTGAATAGATTATATAATCATTCTAGTATTTATATATTTACTAAACATTTACAGCATTTATGACTTACTAAACAATATAAACCAAGTATGTTTAAAATAATGTTTTATTCAAAAATTGAATAACATTTCATGGAAAACACAACAAAATTAAGGGAACAAAACATAAACTTAGAATATTCTAAATAAGCTTAATATTCATTATACTCAGTCAGAATTCAAATTATCAGAAGGTAAATCAGCAATAAATTGATCAGTTTTCTTTTCTCATTATATTGTCTAAGGAAGCATTTTGACCTTATCGATAACCACCATCATCATCATCATCATCATCATCATCATCATCGTCATCATCATCATCATCATGTCGTACAGACGATTTGTCGACATTTGTCTAAAAGCCGCTATATGTTATTCAATCATATTATTTCCTAAATCTACTTTTTGCCAAATGGCACATTGGAAATCTTAATTAGTTATAAGTAGAGACAGGGTGATTGTATAGATCTTAAAAAACATCGGTTAATCATCTTAGGTTCTTTCCTGCGGAATGCTATCATAGTTATTACATAAAAGTACTTTTATATCTTTCATAATTAAACAAATTGAAGTTAAACTTTGTACTCTCTGAAGTTATATGAAACATTTTTGTGAACCATCTATGTTCACAAAATTTTGAAGTCTAAATAATAATAATAATAATAAGAAGAAGAATGGATTGAAATCATTTTATTGTGTATAAACATTTCAGTCGCACAAAAAGAAACACTGTAACATGTCCGGCATTACTGAATACAACCTGTTAATTAGTTCAAGTAGAAAGTGTTAAATCGATCTGAAAAATAGGGAGCATTGGAACAAGGTGATTGATTAAGGTGACTATCCCATAAGAAGAAACTATTCTATTTAACCATATTTTATGATGTTCAAATAGAACAGCATTTACTATTTTTCAGTTTTATTTAAAACAACGATTTTAATGAACACAAAAATCAAATTTTGGTAACCAATATATTGGGTAGTTAATATTTTACGAATAAATTTAATCACCTATTCATTATTTCAATCCATTTGGATGGATTTAATTTTTGACTTTGGAAATCATTCTATAAATAAAGAGTTTTTGGGATCAAAATCCATGCTTCATTGAAAAAAATGATTACAAACAAAATGTGTTTGAACAAGTCTGTCAATGTTTTATCTTATTATGAGTTTGAAACTCTATGATTGATTAAATTAAAAGTTTAAACATGGTTTTGAACAAACCGGACTTTGAACTATCTTAATTTTTATTGGTATATAAAATGCAGATATTTACAAAAAAACGAACATATCTATTCTGAATACATTCCTATTGATCAAAAAGGTTTGTTTCTACTTACTTGTCTTATGGCAAAAAAAGCTGTGAAATTTAAGAAAATCCAGCATTTGTACTAAATGACTGAAATATTTTCAATTATTTAGTATTGATTTGAAAAGAAACTGAACTGGTTACAATGTACATAATGAAGTCGATTTACTGCTCAACGTATCTAAACCGGTTTATTGATGACATCATTTGAAATACCATATTTTATGGAATCACCTGTCCTTGTAAAATAATTTATATCTTTCAAATATAAGTCCATATAGTTGAAGTAATTAATTCACTAATTTGTTTTCATTGAAACAACAGTCTTAAGTAAGACTATTAAAAAAATATAAATCTGATAGTTGTTAAGGTGTTTATTTGTACTTGAAACAAACAAACAATTTAACATTTCACTTACACTAAAAACAAGAAAAAAAAGAGTTTTTCTACAATGGATTCATTAACTAAACGTTTTTGAATTCTTCTTTCAATTAAACTGTTTTACAAATACATTATTCAAAAGATTCACATGTATACTTACATCTACATAGAAGCTGAATGTAATTAATAATAAAAATAAAAACAGGGGTATTTAGAGAATTAGATAAGATCACTAGAAAGATTATTTATATCAAATGATACTCAGCATTCTATAGAAAGGAATAAAAATTCTAAGAAAAGAATGGTTGGTTTGGGGGTTAGTTTTTGTTGTTAAGTATAAAAATGATCTAATCATTAAACTATACGTTTTAACATTAGAAAAACAAAACAGGAAATTGTAAAAATGTTATTTCATAGTTGGTTATAAACAAAATATTGTAGTTTGAAGTCCTACAATAGGATGAAAAGGCCGTCCAGTGCATCCAGGTTGTTCATTGGCTCACAATCTTAACCGTTAAAACATCGTATTATATTTTGTTGTTTTTTTAGAAGAAATTTATCAGTATAATTACATCATATAGTTGCTAGTCTAATATTATAAGTAAGAAGCTATCTATTATCTTTCAATGATAAAAAGTGTGATGTGACATAGATTACAAAAAATTTGATTACTGGTTATATTCAGTCGTAAAACATTTATTTATGGGATTCAATGTTTTTAGCATAGTCACTAACTAGTACTATCGGATGATATTTATGACATGATTTATATTATTTTATTTTAGAGAATTAGATATTATTCATGAAGATATTGTGGATAATAGAACAGTCGTGTCATATTATGATCAAGTCTAGTTGGAATTTAATAGATAGATTTAAGCAAAGAAATTAATAAGACACTGATTATTTTTGATAAGTTATTATGGTAACATGAAATTGTAATTAATTCAATAAAGTAGTGAAATGCAGTTCAGTAATCACTTGTTCTACACATCTGAAACTTCAGTTGTTTAAAATGGTTCTTATGTCATATCACAGGAACATTTATGATATTAATTATGAATATTATCAAAATCATATATAGAAGTAATGAGCGATTTTTATGAGGAAACGTGTAAGGATGACAGATCAATGAACTGGCGTTACTGTTACAACAATATCTTCATTTGGTCTACAGTAATGAATATCAGATTATTTCTGCTGCCACTGTTTACTTTCACAGCCAGTTAGTGCTAATTGATAACTATATAAATTTCCTGTCTTTGGAAAAAATTTATTTACTGAGTGAATATTAAGTTTTTTAGCAGTTGAATTCACGAACCAATCTTTACTAGATCACTGATCGCACATGTGGATTGCTAAGGAGTCCCATACTATAACAAAACAGCCGTCCATTACTTCCTGATTTTCAATGGTAATCTAGTTTAGTTGGATTCGTGGAATCAACTTTCAAAATTGCTACAATTCACACGAATCCCCATACTCATAATTATATTTTCTTGACCTATAAGTGGCGTTTATAAAAGTAGTATATATAAACTAAGTGGATGTATAGAGCAAATTATTCTTCTAAAACTTCAAACTTCTATAGATTCATTAGTATTTTCGACATTTTATCACTGAATAACTATCAGGATGTGCTATTTTGTCGCAACGAGTTATAATGCATCAAAAAAATGCGAACTCTGATTTGTTTCTCAAATTAGTGACTTCATTACAATGTCAAAGCTAGTCAAAAATGTTTGTTGTGCTGAAGTTTATAAAGAAAGGATATTCAAACTAAAGTTTATTACAGAAAATTCACTAGGTCCTTTTGTTCTTAATGTAAACTAGTTTAACTATATTATGTGGATTTTCAAGAAATCTTTTAATGGTCCCTGTAATTATCAAATAAAAGACATTCAGTAAAAAAATATAAATTTTGACAAAAATACTCTATTTATCCTGTACGTAAGGTATATAAGAAAGAATTAAACAGGCATTTTTTATAGATTTCTAATTGCTTTTATTGAGATCATAAATCGATCAATGTTAGACTACCATTAAAAACGTGGAAGCACTAGATAGCTGCTTCTTTCTATTATGGAACTTCTCACTGGTGAACGACCACGACCACACATGTGGAATTCCAATTCATGACTTTTTATCTCATGTTAACATTTAACTATTAGACCACTGAGCCGGTATCCAATAGTAGCAATAATTTTAATTATTTCGAAAATTACTCACTTGTTTCACGCTTTCATCAAACAAACAATTTTGATCAATATTTGAAATGAGTTTGTTTTTCTTTTAATTACCGTGACAAATATTACCCTGTGTCCAATCGATTTTTTTTTCTAATAAAATAAATCCAATTTTAAATTGATCAACTTTTATTCAGAAAATAACTAATGTATCATCGGTTAAATGGTATGTATATTGAAGCGGTTTGTTTTGCCTTTCTTTGTTTTGTTCTTCTTTTCATTTCTAACATTTCAATAGCGTTTTAATAGGAATAGTTAGATTCAATAAAGTAAAATAGATAAAAGATATTACTGACAGTGTTTAATTACGATTATAGTTAAAGTACATAAACAAAATTAGAAATTATTTTTCTTGATTAGATATAAATAAATGAAGCACCCGCTAAATTTATGGATTTTTCCTACAGTGAATCATCATAAAATATCTAATGATTCACCTTTAAAATTTACTGATATATAGAGCTTTGGGTAATTTTCAACAGTTTTATTCCTTATTTTTTTTGAGTATTATCAAGAGTACTAACCTGTCGAAGTTTGGTAATCATTGAAAACCCATAAGTATTTGATAGCCATTTTGTCCTAATATAGGGTTTCTTCATAGTGCTCATTCATGATCCCATCATCATTGTAGATTGAACGTAGAAATCCCTTTCCAACAATCAACTGCTGTAATATTTGAAACTATTTTCTTTTCACTGAAATTATTATGCGTAAATCAATTTATCTCCC